CTTTATTGCTTTTCTTCTTTGAAATAAAAAATGGGAATTGCAAAGTTTACCCGTATATTTTTGCACTCCACCTGAACAGCTTAATTGAATGTATCAAAAAGGTTTTTATTTGGATTTTCTATACAGGGTGTCCGTTTTTCGAGGACAACCATTGGAATATAGGAAACGGTAAGAGATACAAAATCGGAATCAATGGCCAAATGTGTTACTGCTTATGGGAGATCAAGAAACTCCGAATACGATTCATAAAAATGCAAACCTCTATTTAAAAAAATAAAGTTGATGATGATCGGCAAAAGACGAAACGTCGGATTTCAAATTTGGTTACACCATTATGTAGAGGGGAGAAAGTTGCCCCAATTAAGTGAAGTTTATTTGAAATACCTTCACAAATGAGTCCAGGAAAATATAGAAATGATTTTACAAAATTTTGATTTCCATTTATCTCCGGAAGTATTCGGAATTTTCCAAATTTCGAAGTAGCGTTTTGTTAAGCAAGAAATTGCGCAACTTTGTCCCAATTTAACCGAACCTGTATCTCTTACCGTTTCCTATATTCCAATGATTGCTCTCGAAAAACGGACACCCTGTATAGGTAAATCTTCTTGATACCTATTCAATTAACCGTTCAGGGTCGGTTTCTCGATAGCTAGTCCAGGGTAAACGTGTCCAATTGCAATGTTTACCCTGGAGTTATGGTTAACTGCTCTGACCCGGGGGTGACTTGCTTGCTATTGAGAAACCGGCCTTCATCAGGTGAGGTGCCAAAAATACACAGGAAAACCCTGTACCTGCCGACACAAATATGTTTGGGGAAATCCCAGAAAAGCGAAAGCATAGTCGCGGTTGCCTGGCGCCCACCAAATATCAAATTAACCAGAGAGCAGAGGTTACTCATGTTGCATTGCATTGTTGTCGACATGAGGGCAAGTTTTCAGGGGGGGGGCAGCTGATTCCTAGCGATTCCCAGATTATTCCCAGGGACTAGTCCCAAGTGATTTTCATGTATTCCTGATTGATTTCTATGTGATTCCAGAAAAAATGTACAATAATTTCCACTAGTGATTTATCCCTTGAATTTGACCTTCTTTAGCCATCTTGAAAAGGCTATACTTAACTCGAAAATATCTTGGACGATTTTTGTGTGGCAATGATGCAATTTAATCAGGAGATGAAGTATATATAAAATTTTATTGGATTTGACCGGAACCACTTTTCCATAAGGTTTGTGCGGGGTACTTTGTCTCTTTGTCGGCTGCGCTGACTCTTTACTACAAACAAACGCGCGGGCGAGTCGCGAATGCGCGGCACGCGATTGTGCCTTAAAACAAGTAGGGGCGTACGTGATTGCCAATATGATTGTCAGATTGCGACAGTGATTGCGGGGCTGCGAATGCGATTGCAGGATTGTTTTAAAGCGATTGTGAGATTGCAAATGCGATTGCGGGACTGCGACTGAGATTGCCACGGCAATTCCAGTGATTGCCAGCGATTGTTGAGAATTTGTGACAGTATTGCAGCAAGATGTCACCCCCTCGGTCTTTATATTTTATTTTATTTTGTTTTAAAGCCCTATACTTTGCTTTGTCTATAAAGATCAATTGTATTTTTACGACAATAAAGCATATATTGATTGACTGATTGAGAGCCTCGGTCAGAGCGTTTTTGAACGGTTCAAATCGCCAGTTTTCTGACCATTTTGCAACCCGCTCTGACTGGTTTGTGATTTCTGTGATAACAGACCTAAAGTATGACAATGTTGTGGATCATAAAAATGAAAATGGCGAGGAAAATAAGAATGTCCCTGAGGAAGACACAAAAGAAAAAGTCAGAAATCCAATGCAATAAGAACTTGAAAAAGAAAAGTAGAATAAATACTAGGCAGTGATGATAGCACATCTGAATTAGAATCAGAAATGAGTTTGTCAAGTGAAACCCTAACTAAAGATGTCACTGATTCAGATGAATATCCTAGTGAAATCAAACAAATATCCATTGTTTTAGATCCATATTATGCAATGTAGACACGCAATGGTATTTACGGCACAACAACTATTTATACCTACAACAAAATCGCTGTGGGTGTGGACAACCATGAAAATAAAAAGTTACTAACTTTTGGAAGAGTTGCAAATACAAAAGTTGCCAATTTTTATAAGAGAAAAGACTGTTTATTTTTATCATATCAATGAGAAGCTTAACAATCAGACATTGTTTTTGTAATAAAATCAGCTGGAAGTCAGATAATTGTAGGAAATTATTGAGGAAATCAGATAATCAATTGGGAATGATATAGGAATCCCCATAAAAAATGGAAATCACATAATAATAATAATAATAATAATAATAATATTTATTATCTCCAGAAAAATTACATTCCAAACAGTTAACTAAGATAAATGTGGGGAATAATAGGCCATATTTGCAGCATCCCACGCAAGCATGAGTGCTGTTGAGGCCCCAAAAAATTGCTTAAAATAAAATATAAAGAAAGGTTTATCTAAGATCTATGAATATGAAAATCAAGTAACGCACTTGATACTTAAACTGTAAGACGAAGAAAGAGAAGAAGGAGGTGGAAAAATAGAGAAAAGAAGGAAAGAAAAGAAAAAGAAAAAGAGGGCACATGGTAGAGAATAATATATGTATATACTAGAGCGGAGAATAATATTAAAGCAGATAGGAATTTCATGATGTACCCAATTATTTATGTGCAGGAAATTAAGGGCGATTTATCTAGAGCAGGAAATATAATATATTGTATTTTAAATTAGTTTTAATTTCATTCTTTTTTTAAAAACACCAACAGATGTAGAAAAATCAATTATTTCATATTTGTTAATGAGTGAGGCAATGGTATAGCTTAATGACTTTTTGAAGAATTCTTTATTGTGAGACGGTATTGTCAAAAGCTGTTTCCTGCGAATGTTTAAATTATGAATGTTAGTTCGATATTTGATTTTATTGTGTAGGTATGGTGGAGTTTTAAATTTTATTAATTTATAAAAGAAGCATAGTGAGTGCAGACTACGCCTGTTAAACATACTTAACCAGCCCAATTCATTCAGTTTGTGTGAAACTCGGTCTCTTCGTCTTATTCCACACGCAAACCTAATGCAAGAGTTCTGAACCTTTTGGACTCTCCTAACATCTATCGAATCCAAAAAAGGCCCATATAGGTGATCGCAAAAATTAAAATGCGAGAGAATTAAAGAGTCGCAAAGCAAAGTTTTAGTTCTTTGACAAAGATAGTGTCTATGAGAGTATTCAATTCAATTCAATTCAATTCAATTCATTTATTCCTTTTTTGATTACATAGTAATATAAGTTTGTCACTAAAAAATATAAAATATAAAAATACAATCAATATAATATAAGCATACACACACATGTATAAACCCCTCAAAACTGAATATGCTCTTTTTAAGCAAAGTGTTATGTGTTCTTTAAATTTGAGTTTGCTATCCATGACAAGTCCCAAGTTTTTAGCCGAATTTTTAAATGATATCGTGTCTTGTCCTAGATTTAGTTCAATATTGCCTAAAAGATCATTTCTAATATTTTCATTACAAAACAGGAGAGATTTGTTAGGATTTATTTTAAGCAAATGTTTATTTGATTCATCAAGCAACGATTTCAGATCTTCATTGATCAGCTTATTGGCTGCAGCTACTTCGGAAGGTTTGAAAGATAAATAGATTTGCGTATCGTCTGCGTATAAGTGGTATTGACAAAATTTTAATGATTTTATAAAGTTAGAGGTGAATATACTATACAGAAGAGGACCCAAAATACTACCCTGAGGCACTCCCGCAAAGACATTAAGAGATTCCGAATATTGTCCGTCAAGAGTAACTCTTTGAGATCTCTTTGAAAGGAATGAGGACACAAGTAGAGACGCCGACTTACTGAAGCCTACATATTTTAAAATCGACAGAAGAATTTCATGGTGAAGCATATCAAATGCTTTTGTATAGTCTAATAAAATGAGCACACTAGCATTGCTGTTGTCCTGCGCCCACACTATATCATCAGTTAAATCAGACAAAGCTGTTGAGCAGCTATAGCCCGCTCTAAAGCCGGTAATCATACCAAAAAAATATCTGAAAATCATAGGCAATCAGTTGCAATTCTTGGGATGGGAATCCAGTGATTGCCAAATATGGGAATCAATCTAGATTTGTAAGCATAGTGGTTGATCCCTCTGTGAAAATAGAGAAAAAAGAAATGAGAAAATGCAGTAAGAGCCTGGAATAAACAAAGATTGCAAAAAAAAAAATCATAGAACAGCAAAGACAATATAGAAAACTTGAGTCAAACAAATATTCAATTTATAAATATATGATTTTTATCTTACTATCTTATTGATCCTATCTCAGAGGAACCTAAAAACCTCTTTTTTTATACACATATACTTTCTATATATTAATATGAGAAATGTTGCCACCTCTGTTGCCACTTGCTACCAAGTTTAATAATGTTTATTTTTAAGCAATGAGGTAAGTAAATATTTACATTGGAATTACTTAAATGGAAAATTCAGCTGAGTATGTTTATTTCTATGACTATGACTCATATACAACTAATTGCACATACCAGAGATACTTGATAGTTCAAGTGGGTAATTTAAATCACTATCTTGATTTTAATAAAAATGGGTGAAGTTATAGCTAATTTTAGATTGGTGTATCAATGTTTTAATTAAAAATTTAATTATTTCAAAGGCACAAAGTATATCAAATAGAAAATGGGTCAAACTATAGTCACACCATATAAATTAACATTTATTTATTAATTAGCTCGATAATAATTATAGTGGTAGTGGTAGAATGTTAATTAAAATAAAAATTAAAGAAGTTTTTGGAATTCACATAATATGAAATGTTTATAATATGGGAAATTGATATCTATTTTATTGTTTGAAGATGTTTTGCATTTCTAGATTGTTTTTGTTTATAAAACTATTATAAAATCCTAAAAAAAACAACAAAAATTCTAACCTGTTTTCAACAACTATTTTCTTCCCTCTCTTGAGTTAACATGACATCGTTTTACAACCAAATAACAGGCAGGCACTAATAATTTGAAAAACTATACAATATTTACGGGTTTTTTTACGTTTATCATACAAAAAAAATGATAATTTTTTAATTTTTATGAATGAAAAATAAATGAATGAATTTGACTTTGACACTTTTCATTGAACTCTTCTTTTTCTCAATCAACATTCGACACTTTACTACTGAAAACTGAGAATCGATTCGTGGGAAAATTAAATATAATACAGTGCTGCAAACTTATATAATATGGAATTATTATTATTTGTACGTTTATATGATTGTTATTAAACGATTCGGGTATTTTTATTTATTTAAATAACAGGGAAAAATATAAATAATAAAAATTTAAGTTTTATTCGTTTATTCGTTTATATGCTCTGCTAGAGTGCCCTTTGTCATTGTAGCGTTTTCATTTCGACAAGTCAGTGCAGCTTTTCAAAAGAATAATTTTTTTAGTTTTTTTTTTTCTGGATTTTCTATCAAGCTGTGAAATTTGGAATGAACTATAGCCGTGTTCGATTTAGACATTTTTTTCTTCGATTTTGACAGGCACGCGTTTTGTAAATTGAAACTATCGATCCAGTAACGTGCCTATCAAAATTTCGGAGAAAATCAACGAAAAAGATACGAACACGGCCTATAAACAAGGTGTCAAGCTGATACAGTATTAGGCCGGGTATTATAAAACTATTTTGACAGATAGTAAAAAGTTAACTTCTAGAATTACTATGGGAAGTAACGTTATTCTAGAAGTTAACTTCTAAGATAGTTAATTGTCAAAATAGTTTTATAATACCCGCCCTTAGTATTGCCAACTTTGAAAATAAATAGACATTTATTTTTCCAAGTAGGCAATTTAAAAAAAAAAAAATTGAAATCTAAAACTGAAAACGGAGAATCATCTAATAAACGTACTAAAATAATTTGAATTCCATTTTCTATGTCTCGCCAACAAAAATGTTATTATTTTCTGCTATTTATTGATATACAGTGTGATCTAATGCAAAGCTTATCCATATACAGGAATACAGGGTGTTTCAGATTTGTGTTCGATATTTAAAAAAAAAAACATAAGGAACCTCTCGCGTCTTAAAGTTTTGAAACATTTTTCAAAACTGCTTCAAAACAATTGCACAATGACGTCATAACTTTTCGGCGCGAGAAAATGGTTCAAAAACGTAAATTGTATTCTATTTCAAAACGGTTTGAAACAATTTTGTGTGACGTCATGGGCTCATTGCGAGAATATCTTTCAAACCTGTTTTGAACTAAACCAGTTTCAAAAAAGTTAGCAGAGTTAACAGGATAACAGCTTCGAACTAAACTATAATAGGTCTGTTTCTCAGAAATCACAAACCAGTCAGAGTGAATTTTATTGGTTGAAACTACTCTTTTCTGACTGTTTTCAACCAATGAAATTCGCTCTGACTGGTTTGTGATTCCTACAGAAACAGACCCAATATATAGGGTGTCATTTCATATAAGCTGACACAGTATTGCCAACTTCTAAAATAAATGGACATACCTATTTATTTTCCCAAGTAGGCAAAAAAAAATAGTGAAATCTTAACTGAAAACGCTTGGAGAATTACTCAATAAACGTACTAAAATAATTCAAATTTCATTTTCCATGTCTAGCCTATTGCAAAATATTGAGCAATAAACAAACAAAAATATTATCTTTGCTATTTATTAATCTACTGTGTGGTTTCAAAGAATGCCTATCCATACACAGGGTGTTTTCATATTTTGTGTTCGATATTTAAAAAAAAAAGAGGTGTTCTCTCGCGTCTCAAAGTTTTGAAACATTTTTCAAAACTCGTTTAAAACAATTTCACAATGACGTCATAACTTTTCGACGCGAGAAAATAGTTCAAAAAACATTGGATTCTATTTCGAAACGGTTTGCGGTTTGAACCAATTTTGTGTGACCGCATGGGTTCATCGCGAGAATATACTATTTCAAGCTTAGAGCAGGTAAAGCGGAGTAGGAACGCGCCATTCTGCTTATGAAACTAAAGTGAAGCTAAGTTTTTGGCAGGTGTTTGGCACCAAAATACAGGTAGAGCATTGAATTGCCATAACCGCCATTTTTTGTGAGCCAAAATACCTGGTTACTACTCCTTTACCTTTACCTGCTCTAAGATTTCAAGCCTGTTTTGAACCAAGGAAACAGCTCTATATGGTGTCCGAATATTCGTAATTTCTGAGATACAGGGTGTTGATATTTAGTCCCAGTGACGTGTAAGAAAATGGATTTCAAATTATTTTCTCAAAAACTACGGTACATACAAAAAACATTGAACATATAAAAAAGGCGTATACAGGGTGTCTCCGTTCAACTGGTAAAAAATGCTAGGGTATGCAGAGGAATCATAGAGAAGTAGTTTGAGATGGAACACCGATGGTCGGAAGTGCGTGGTTTCCAAAATACAAAGTTTTGAAATTTTACAAAAAAATCGAATTTTTCCCTCTGTATTAAAAACGCTTTTAGCGATTTTTATGAAATTTCCAGGTGAGGTAGTGATGCAACTTTTTAAGGAATTGCAGTTAATTTGATTTGACCAGGAACGGACTTGCAGCACATGTGTGTTGAATTTTTGAAGAAAAAATGGTATGCCACTGACCATCGATGTCTTATCTGAAACTACTTCTCCTCCTCTCTTCCACCATATACCCTAGCATTTTTGACCAGTTAAACGGGGGCACCCTGTATTCATTGCCTAGTTTTATAACAATACCAGTGGCGTACTGAGCTATATAATATTTTTCTTTTTTAAATAAATATTATAACACCTTTGTATCTAAGAATTTTTTTTTTTTAAATATCGTAAGGCTGAAGACACAATGACAAATACAAGGTACAAGTGACAGATACAAAATAGCAAAAAATCGAAATTTTCTCCTGGTTAGTAAATTGTATCCTGTATCCATTTATTCTGGGTCATTAGTATTGATACACATAACGGATCACATCCTTAAATTACGGACTGTCCTTAGGAAGCACCCTATACAGTGTGTTTCAAAAGTCTGGGAACGGTCAAATATTTCCAGAGCGGCTTGAAATAGAATTACGAAATTTTCTGAATATGGGTAATTAATGATGCCCGATTCAATGATGATATCGACAATGTTGCCAAATTTACCGGTTTTCAGATAATGTAGATAACTTCGTTTTTTTTAAATAGGAATACCATTTACTTTTCATTGCAATAAATTCGGCGCTCTATTGTTACTAAAACCTTTTGATATCATGTTCCTATTCTACACGGTTTCTAAAATATTGCAACACAGCCTTTTTGGTCAAAAGTCTGGAAACGCTCAAATATTTCCAGTGCGGCTTGAAATAAAAATACGAAATTTTCTGTATATGGGTAATTAATGATGCCCGATTCAATGATGATATCGACAATGTTGCCAAATTTACCGGTTTTCCTATAATGTAGGTAACTTCATTTTTTTAAATAGGAATACCACTTTATTTTCGGCGCTCTATTGTTATTGAAACTTCTTGATATCATGTCCCTATCTCACATGGTTTCTGAAATATTGCAACACAGCATTTTTGTTCAAAAGTCTGGGAACGTTCAAATATTTCCAGAGCGGCTTGAAATAGATTTACGACATTTTCTGCATGTGGGTTATTAATGATGCCTGATTCAATGATGACATCGACAATGTTGCCAAGTTTACCAGTTTTCAAATAATGTAGGGTAGGTAACTTCGTTTTTTTAAATAGGAACACCACTTTATTTTCATTGCAATAAGTTCGGCGCTCTATTGTTATTAAAACCTTTTGATATCATGTCCCTATTTTACACAGTTTCTGAAATATTGCAACACAGCCTTTTTGTTCAAAAGTCTAGGAACGGTCAAATTTTTAAAACGACTAAAAGTAGGATTACATTTTCGAGATTTGAGAAAATACCACCCCAGGAAAATATTTTATCTGTCTTTTATTTTATCTCAATAATACCGGCAAAAATATCACTGAAAAACTGGTTGTCGAGTATAAATTGATATTTTATACAGGGTGTATCAGGTTTGACTACAAACAACACTTGAAAATATGGCCCATTTTGAAGAAAAAAAGTTTTTACAACATCCAAACCAAACAAAATTATTTTTAAGAAAAAGATCTTTCAAGTTATGACAATTTTTGACAAGAATATTTGAAAGATAAAGAAAATTTTAATCATTATGAGATCGAGATTTAAAAAAAATTAACTCATTCAATTATTAAGTAATACTGCATTTTTAGTCAACAACAATAACAAAAAATTGAAAAAATATGACACTTTCACTCGTAATTCGGTACCTAAACATTTGGCAACATAGGTGGTTGAAAATAAAATGTTCACTTCACAAACGTCAAATATGCAGATACTTGTTAAGGCAGAATCGTTGCAAAATGCTCATTTAGCCGCCAGAATTTACAGGGAAAGATTTCCCAATAGATGAAAGAATATTGGGTTCGTTTTACAAAGATTGCGTGATATGAAAAGTGTAAGTGTGTAAATTTTTTTCTCTTGAATGTTCAGTGCAAAAATGTCATTGAGTGCAATTCACAACTTAATAAAATGGCACATTTTTTATTTTTACTAGAAAAGTGATAAAAATGCAAATTATTATTTACATTATTTTAAAGCGAATAACAAACCAAAACGTATAAAAAAAAAAAATTACCAGTTTTATTTACCTAATATCCTGGTAGAGATGATCTCTACAATGTTGTCACGTTGTTAACATTTTTTTAAATTTAAATTTTGCGATAATTCCGAAAATACTAACAATTGACTCATGATTAGTAGCCCTAATAGGACAGTCTTAGCTTAAAATAGGTCATATTATCTCATGTTAATATTTTTGTACTCATACCTGATCTACCTGACTCTCTGTATTCTTTGACAATTTGTCGAAACAATAACATGGAAGAATACACCTACGCTAAATAACTAAAAATTTAGATATTCATTTGTTTATTATCCAGTGGTAGAGGTGTCAAGTTCCTTCAAAGTTTTGCCAAAATGAATTTCGAACTGAGTGAATCCCAGTATCGATATTTTGATATTTGTTGATGCCATCATTGAATTGAGCATCACAATAACGTCTCTTCATCAAAATTTGAATATCCTATTAAAGCAAATACACCATCGTGCCAATTTTTTAACAAAAAGTCTGTGTTGCCATATTTCAAAAACTACTTGAAATGGGGATTTGATATCAGGATGTTTCACTTACAATAGAGTTCCAAAATTGCATTAGGAATAAGGTGGTATTTCTATTTTTTTAAAAAAAAAAAAAACGAAGTTACCTACACTATCTGAAAACCTGTAAACTTGGCAACATTCTCGATGTCATCATTAGTTCGGGCATTATTAATTACCCATATTCAGAAAATTTCGTAATTCTATTTCAAGCTACTCTGGAAATATTTGACTGTTCCCAGACTTTTGAACAAAAACGCTGTGTTGCAATATTTCAGAAACCGTGTAAAATAGGAACATGATATCAAGAGGTTTCAATAACAATAGAGCGCCGAATTTATTGCAATGAAAATAAAGTGGTATTTCTATCTAAAAAAACGAAGTTACCTACATTATCTGAAAACCGGTGAACTTGGCAACATTGTCGATGTCTTCATTGAATCGGGCATCATTAATTACCCATATGCAGAAAATTTCGTAATTCTATTCCAAGCCGCTCTGGAAATATTTGACCGTTCCCAGACTTTTGTATAAAAAGTCTGTTTTGCCATATTTCAGCAACCGTGTAAGATAATGACATGATATCAAAAGGTTTCAATAACAATAGAGAGCCGAATTTATTGCAATGAAAATAAATTGGTATTCCTATTTAAAAAAACGAAGTTACCTACATTATCTGAAAACCGGTAGATCTGGCAACATTGTCCATATGATCATTGAATCGGGCATCATTAATTACCCATATGCAGAAAATTTCGTAATTCTATTCCAAGCCGCTATGGAAATATTTGACCGTTCCCAAACTTTTGAAACACACTGTATATATATCGATGAATAGGTGCAAATCGATACAAATTAGTCATATCGATGTGTATTGATACCTAAGGATCTTTCAAAATTATTTTTTCTATTCACGACTGTATGTTTGTATTTAGAAGTAGATGTCACATGTGTTTATATTATTGAAATTTCATAAGATGTCCATGTCAGAATGTCAGTCGAAATTTCATTTTTGTCATCTTTTCACCTTATTTTTTTTCAATAATTAATAGTTCAAAATAAAATAGTATACCTACATATTTCGGTGAAAAGTTTTTACATGTTTTATCTCGAGAATTGGTTGACCGAGGTGCGAAGCACCGAGAACACAATTTCCTGATTAAATCCCGATGAATAGATGAATAGATGGCTGCGGAACTCGCTGCACTCATCCCGCAGAGGTCCACCCATAAGTTCCGCAACAATCCATTCGTTTGTACTTGAATAACTTATCACAATATATTACTAGTTTAGTAAAGTACCATTACTAATTTCTATTAAAAGGCAAATTGACAAAAAGTGGATAATCTTACAAATTCTGACTTTATATAATAAGTTATTGTTCAAGTACAAATAAGTGGATTGTTGCGGAATTTATGGGTGGACCTCTGCGGGACGAGCGCAGCGAGTTCCGCAGCCATCTACTCACCAATATACTGTTGAACTGTTCAAATAAGATACTCACCTGAAACGTGTACTTTTCAAACTAATGAGAATAACTCATATTTGAGTGAGTCAGGTTAGTATCGTAATTAAACAACATATCGATGAATAGATGGCTGCGGAACAAGCGCAGCGAGGTCCACCCATAAGTTCCACAACAATTCAATAACTTGTCACATTATGTTACTAGTTTGGTTAAGTAACAGTACCATTACTAATTCCTGTTGAAAGACAAATTGACAAAAAGTGAATAATCATAATCTTACAAATTTTGATTTTATATAATAAGTTATTATTCATGTACAAATAAGTGGATTATTGCGGAACTTATGAGTGGACCTCTGTGGGATGAGCGCAGCAAGTTCCGCTATCCATCTACTCTCACCAATATACTATTGAACTATTCAAATAAGACATTCACCTGAAACTTGTAGTTTTTGAACTAATGAGAATAACTGACATTTGAGTGAGTCATGTTAATATCGTACTTGAACAACGTATTAATGAATAGATGACTGCGGAACTCGCAGCGTTCGTCCCGCAGAGGTCCACCCACAAATTCCGCAACAATCCACTCGTTTGTACTTGAATAACTTGTCACATTATGTTACTAGTTTGGTAAAGTAACATTACTAATTCCTGTTAAAAGGCAAATTGACAAAAAGCGGATATCTTACAAATTCTGACTTTATATAATAAGTTATTGTTCAAGTACATATACCTACCTATTTAAAATCACCTTATTCTCCTAAATAGTTCCCCCATTCCCATATTTTTGTGGGCTCTTCTTTCGAAAAATCGTATCTTACACAATGCGCTGCCAAAACTAAACCAAACTAACTCAATCTGGCTTACTTTAACTTAAACTGCCCTCCCCCCCTTTCAAAAGGCCTGTATCCGCCCCTGATCGGTATCAAGGTAGATAGCTACCTTATGATTTGGATTTTTAAAAACTTCGAAAGTAGTAAAGGAGTACAATCTTTGAAAATTTCAGCTCATTTGGACGTATAGGTATAGTTCCAGAAATAAAATATTTATTTTCGAGAAATTCATCAAGAGTCAGGAATAGAAAAAAAATCAAAACAGAAAAACTGACAAATAATTATTAGAGAAAAAATGTAGAAAAATTGAGAAAAAATGGCTCAAAAATTTTCCTCAAACCTTTGCTAGAAACCATTTTTTTGAGATTTAATTTCAAAAGAACTTTCTCTCTAACAATGTTTTTCAATTCTGCAAAAAATGTATGCAGTGAATTATATTCCGTAATTGGATTAAAACCAAAATTATTATTTCTATTTGCAGTACCTGAGAAAACAATGGAATTAAAATACCCACCGATGTGGTACCGCAGCGAAAGCGACTCGAAAGTACTCTGTTATGTCGAGGACATTTTTCCCAAACCAGAAATGAAACTTTACGTAAACAGCAGGTAAATAACGAAAATACAATTAATAAAACCAAAAATATTCTGGTTTATTTTACAGCGAAATCGAAAACGCAACTATAAAGTACCAAGAAAGAAACAGTGCACTTTTCGATGTAGAGATTTTCGCTTTTGTACCAGGTTTAGTCGATGGTACTTCGATTTTGTGCGAATTACATGTGACAATTGCGAATTATACTGTGAGGAAGGAAGCAATTTATTATGATGGTAATATTTTTGCTTACAAATTGATTATGTATTGTATCATATGTCATTTCAGCTCTTATTTCTTCAAAAGCTGCAACAACTTCAAAAAACTACTTCACTATATTATTTTGGCTTCTTCATTTAATAAAATACATTTTTTAACCCCTTTTATATATCGACTTCTCTATGGCTGTAAGTAATGTATTTAGTGATAAAAGAAAATCTCTGTTTCAATCGAATTTATTAGTACTTAATTGATTTCAAATAGACATTTTAGTGTTATTTTATTTTTGTAAGCTTAGCGTATAATAAAAAAATCCAAAAAACTTTTCGGGTTCTAGTTGCAAAGAGTTGTAAACCCCAAATTCACACCCCCAATTGAACTCGATTACCTCCTCAATTTCCCCAATCGGATGACGTACGCCTTGGGGGATGTGTTCGATGCAATTATATTTCTATTAAGTACCTGTTAGTGGATGCAAGTGCCCATTTGGCCACCCCCTAGTTTTACTACCGTGTCGCGGTTCCTGATTTGATTTAATCCCCGATAAAAGGGGGACGTATGCAACTTACAATCGAGAGTCAAAGATATAGCACACTTTTTTTGAATCAATTTTTCGTTTAGATGAAGAAGAGAATAAAATAATGACAGACCTGAGAACTTATACAACTAAACAAATCTCAGAAACAATCGAAGCAAACAAAAATATGAAAGTATTGAAAACCAAGTCTCCCAACGGAAAACAAAGAACTATAAACTTCAAGAATCAACAAGGAGTACTCGTGAGCAATAAGAAATCCATTGTAGAGGAAATTCAGCACTTATATGAAAACCTCTATAATACGTCTACGGTACCAAAACCACATATAGAACCGAGGAAAATTCTAAACATGGGCTCAGAAGAAATATCCGAAATTACGTCTTCAGAACTAAAACACGCTTTAAGACATTTAAAAAATAAAAAATCTCCAGGGGAAGACCACATAACCATAGAGATGCTAAAACTGGGAGGCAACGAACCTATGAACCATATCAAAACACTACTCAATAAATGCCACTCAGAAGGAAAAATACCAAAAATATGGGAAAATGCAGAAGTGACACTTCTATTTAAAAAAGGAGATAACACAAATATAGAGAATTATCGTCCTATTACTCCTATTAGCCTGCTTTTTCATTTATATAAGCTACTCACGAAAATCATTGCGAACCGTTTAACAACAAAACTCGATTCCTATCAACCAGTCGAACAGGCAGGATTCCGCAAGGGATTTTCCACCGCCGATCACCTACAGACTTAGACAGGCTTCCTACAGACCACAGTGGCGGATTTACCCATACGCTAACTACGCTGCAGCGTAGGGCCCCAGGCAGCCTGGGGCCCCGCAGGGGCCCTCCCTACATTTCAGGAATATAGGTACTTACTCCAAATTCCAGATTTATAAAAAAATATGTTGAAATAGTTAAAATCTTCTAGTGTGCTACGGAAAAGTGAGTAATACAGACACCATACTGCTTTGGTATTCATTATATATTTGGAATTCCTTCTTATAAAACCCAGCATTCTAAGACCCTTAATTACAACTACAACGTTTTCAACATGCAAATTAAGACTGAGGTCTTTCTGGAAAACCACTCCCAAATCATTGAATGAGTCGACTGAGGTAACGAGTTGATTGTTTGTTTATGGTGTAGTTACGAACAATTTGATTTTCACACTTATAGAAGCTGATGGATTTTCATTTTGGAAAAATAATCTTTAGGTGATTGAGGGAATACCAAGATACAAAGTTGTCAAGGTCATCGTGCAATCGGTTATGGTCCACAGATACCTTATTGTAAAATTTCAGATCATCAGCGTACAAGAAGACATGAGAAGAGGAGAAGCAGGACGTTACGTCGTTGATGGAGAGAGAACCAGGACAGGTTCCAGGTGAGATCCTTGAGGGACACCAGAGGTAACCATTACTTCACTGGATAGTGTACCAGCGACATCAACTCGCTGCCGGCGATCACCAAAGTAAGATTGAATTCAGCTGAGATAGTTTCCAATTATCTCAATTTCTGACAATTTCTTGAGGAGGAGCTGATGGTGAACGCTGTCAAAGGCCTTGGATAAGTCGGTATAAATAGAATCAACTTGATGTCCCTGTTCAACTGAGGTGACCAAAAAGTTCTGGTAGACTGCAAGGTTGGTTGTGATAGAACGTCCTCAGTATAAGTTATGCTGGACAGAGTTAAAGTATCTGTTGTAAGTCGTGAATATCTCGTCAGTTAGAATAGATTCGAGGAGTTTAGGAATAGCGGATAAGATGGAAATACCACGATAGTTCTCGATGTCACTTATATCCCTACTACCTAGTAACTAGTTTTTAGTTTTTTTACTGTTATGAATTTTTTCGGTTATACTTTTAGAACTTCATTTCGATTTTGTTTTAATTTATCAATAAATTCTAAAATGAAAATATTTGTTTTACTAAGTAGGGGTAGGGGGTAGAGGCCCCAAAAATTATGTAGCGTATATAGGGCCCCATAAATCGTAAATCCGCCACTGACAGACCATAAGACAACTTATAGAAAAAACTTCAGAATATAATATCCCTCTACATATGGCTTTTGTAGATTTATCATAAAGCTTTTGATAGCATTAAGACATGGTCATTTCATGAGGCAATGGACGACGACAGAATCGATTCACGCTATTCCCGCCTCCTAAAGAACATATACCAACAAGCAACGTTTCATATAAAGATCGATGATGACATGAAGACGAACAAAATCTCCCTAGGAAAAGGAGTGAGACAAGATGATACCATATTGCCAAAATTTTTCACTTTAGCGTTGGAAAACGTTTTTAGAATAATACATTGGGCAGACAAGGGAATAAACATAGATGGAAGTCATCTCACTAACTTGAGATTTGCGGACGATATTGTATTGATAAGCTCCGACATACAAGAACTAGAGGTACAATGCCAAATGAACTAAACACACAGTCAAAGAAGATATATAGGACTAAATTAATATGAATCTTAACAAAACGAAAATTCTTAGCAATGAAAATCTAATAAACATAGATAAGATCGCTGTAGAGAAAATGGATCAATATATATACCTAGGGCATGTCGTAAAGCTCGGTAAAGAAAATCAGACTGCCGAGCTAAAGAGGAGGATAGGTTTGCCCTGGACTGCATTCGGAAAGTTGGATTTCATCTTTCAAAATAAAAACATTCCGCTTTCACTCAAAAGAAAAACATATGACACCGTGTGTACTCCCTGTTGCTACGTATGGACTGGATTTGACTGGAAACAATGACCCTTACAAATAAATCTAAGGAAAAACTGTGTGTATGTCAAAGGGAAAGAGCTATGTTGGAAATCACTCTAAGAGACAGAGTACGCAGTACTGACATTCGAAACAGAATAAAGGTCACCGAGATACTAACTCCTACAGCGAAATTGAAATGGCAATGGGCTGAATGGGCAGGCCACATAGCACGAGATAAATGGACATCTAAAATTACATTCTGGCGACCCCGAATAAGTAAGCGAAACGCCGAACGCCCTCAGAGACGACATCAGGCAAATCGTTGGGATCCAATTGAGAAAAATTGCTGAGGACCGACGGACATGGAAAAATCTGGAAGAGGCCTTTATCCAGCAGTGGACGAGTACAGGCTGACGAAGAAGAAGAGAAAAAAACAAGTGTACCTACTTGCAATGTTCCTCTTATGAATGCCCCATTAGGCTGAATTCACTTGAAACCACGTTGTGCAGCTGACACCCAATATCAAATCACAATTCAACCATTTCTCGTCGGTATTCGGTAGTGCCCCACTGCTACACTTACCTTAAATAGTATAATCGTGCAACAAATGGGATCCTAACCTATTATGGTGGACGGCTTCCCCAGGGGACACCAATTACCAGAAAGAAATAATCAAATCATGATTTGTTGCCCTGGATATCAGTGAAACGCAACTTCAATTAATAAAAAATGGTAATTATTTAATTGAAAACATTTACAGTCAAATGCTCAAAGCCCAATACCAAACTTGCTCAACTAGAAGTTAGCTTACCAAGGTTCTGATTTTTATACTTATCATCTCTAAGAAAAAACACACAAGGTAAAGTTCCTTTGGAAAGTTTATAAGTGCATAAAAGGATTTTTTTTTAAACCTGCGGCGTGACTGAAGGGCAGTTAGGATCATCGCTCATGATTAGCTAATTAGGAAATTATACCCTTTTAGACACATCAACATCTGATCCATAAAGCCTCTGTTGATTTGAATTCTCTGTAAATTCCAACCAAGAATTCTTAGTCATTGAAGGTGGAAGGTGGTCATGTATGCTGTATCCAGAGCACAAGCCAGCTGACATGTTGCTAGATTGAGGGCGGATGGTCCAGAAAATTGCGAAAACTTCCTAGCTTATGAAATGAATCATGACAAACTAGATTTCATCGAATGGAGAAATAAAACCTGGAAACAATTTGAGGAGCTCTCTATGTTAAGCAGTAGATCCAGGACGATGTGTAATGAAGATGATGATATCAATATAGATACAAAGAAAAAAAACGTTTCTGCACTAATCCTCTAGAAGCATAAAGCGAATAAGGACCTTTGTATGAAGAAACTTCTATCCAGAGTTTTTCATAAAAACACCCAGGCATTTTCAAGGTTTCTAGATCCTAAGAGAGTATTTATTCTCAAGGAAAAACAGAAGATTTGCACAAGAACAATTATGGATTTAAATCATTTGAGAATCTGGCAATCTGGAAAGAAGATCTTGAAAATTTTCTTTTAGAAGAACCAAGAATTGATGACTCAAGAATCCAAGATCTTAAGAGGCTTTCCAGAGAAAAATCCGGAAATTGTCAGTTAAACCTTAGAATCCAGGACCTGGTGATTCCAAAGTTTTTTCATTCAAAGTCATGACTTGGGATTGAGAATTGGAAACTTCCAGAACTTTTCATGAAATCACCAAGGCATTTTCAAGGTTTCTGATCCTCAGAGAGTCAAAGGATAAACAGATTTGCATAAGAACTGTTTTAGGGATCTAAAGCAAGAGATCCTAGAATGTTTCTCTTAGAAGAACCAAGAAGTATGCGATGACTCAAGAATAAGACTTTCAGAAAAAAATCTGGAAATTCTCAGTTAATCTTCAGAATTCCGTATCCCGATTATGTTCAATTTATTATTAAATATAGAATAAAAATTCTAGGGCGCCTTTTTAGAATTTCTACTCTTGGTTGATTATGAATTTTTACATTTTAATGTGCTTTTGGAAAATTTGTACCTACTTCAATACCAAACCTACCCAATGATAAGTAGCTTACCAACGTCTTGATGATTCTGTATCACACTCTATTAAAACTTACTTATCATCTTTCATATTGCAGATAGATTTCAGAGATTCCTTCCCCATATTTGGCGTGATAGTTGCTTGAAAATCTACTGATATCCAAGAAAGTTCACTAAAACTCGAAAGGCTCAATTATTATTTTTTCAATAGCTTATTCCTCCACGACAGTCTAGTGTCGAATATGACGACTATAAAAATAGATAAGAAAAGAAAGGTACAAGCTTGTTTACATTACCCTGATCCCTTTTTTTTATTACTTCAGTCATGATTCATCAATTAAGTAGGTATAATAATATTGAGATAAATAAATCCTGCAAAAGGATAGAATATTACTTTGCTTCAGTAGTAAAGTCTGTTTTTTTTTTTTAAAGATACCTAGGTACTTAATTCCCCAAGTCAAAAATTTAGTAACTATGTTGGCAACACAAGCCTTTTCTACATAAAAAATTTGAAAGCATTGACAATTTTACATTGCATTGTCAACATAATGTCATTCTGACTTTTATCTTTGAAAAAAAACAGACTTTAGCTGGATTTTGGAAGATGCATTTTGAGTTAATAAAAGGCGGATAGAGGTTTTTCCAGGAACTTATAACAGCCAAGGATAAATATTATGGAAGAAGGTCATTGTGGATATATTAGTACCACTGTGAAGTTTCCTGACAAAAGTTATCTGACAAAATGCTAAAGATACCCGAACAATCAGTGACGTTGGGTAATGAATTTTCTATTACACATGCATTTATTATTTTACATTACAAGTACGTTTATGAACATGATTACCATAACGAGTGTGAAAGATTAGAACGACGAGGTCGTAGACCAAGTCGTTCTAATCATACGAGTTTTGTAGTCATGTTTGAACGCACGTGTGATGTGCAACGTTTTATCTACAAAGCGAAAAATAAGAACGACTCGGTCAACGACCTCGTCGTTCTAATCTTTCACGCTCGTTATTGTAATCATTTTCATAAACGTACTTGTAATGTAAATAACTAATTCAATATCATTGGTTTTAAACTGGGTTGTCAGGAACAGGGTGACACTATTGGCGTTAGTGGCGTACACTCGATTGACCTACGAATAGAGATTTATACGAAATTATACAAAATTATATAATCAGATGGCAATTATTCAGAAACAGTACATAGGATTAAATTCATTCCAATGGGGAAGGTAAAGGGAATTGTCAGAAACAGGGTGACACCAGTGGGGTACACTCGATCAACCTACAAATGCACATTTATACGAAAATACACAAAATTAAATAATCAGATGACAATTATTCAAAAACTGTACATGGGATTAGATTCATACTAGAGGAGAAGGTTAAGGGGGCTGTCAGGAACAGGGTGACACCAGTGGCGTACCCTCGATCAACCTATGAATGGAGATGCATCTGGAAGTTGTATTTTGAATGATTATAAGGCCAGAAAATCCTTTTCTTCAGAATTTCTAGCATCCAAGAAATAAATATTCTAACTCTGGAAGACGCGTTACGTGACCAGAAACCTAATATCAATTTAGATTAGGTTGTAGATACATACTTTGCTAATTTTTCCTCCACGTTTTCCTTTCAACTTTTCCCTATTCCAACCTTTTGAATTTTCGTTTCCCTCCTAATAAAATCATACCCCCACATGAAATACAAATTAAAATTTATTACAAAAAAAATACAAGACATAATAATTATTATAATATAAATAAAATAAACTTCTTATAAAAACACAAAATTATTTACATTTTCTTCTATGTAAAACAACTAATTAAACTCTTTTTGTAAACATTTTTATATACTCAATCAATAATAAACTACAATTAAATTGTTCCTTTCCTCCAACTCTAAATTACAAAATTTTACAAAGTATCGTGACTTCCTTCTTGGGCCTTTTTCGAATCGCTCAATCTGGCTTTGGCTTTTTTGAATTTTGCCTTTAAGCCATTTTCCCGCTCCTTTATCGAATTTGCTTTTTGATATTCTTTACGTTTTTTTTCTTTAGCCCTATATAGAAACAACACATATAATAAACATATAATTAAGATACACATAAGTACTACGTACTTTTCAACTTGAATAGTGATAATTTCCTTCTTATAAATATCCTTAAAATCTGCGCAAAATGGTAGCCAAAGCTCAAAAAAGCCTGACGGAGCGAATGCGTTGAGAGGTCCTTTTTTTGGCTTGAACAGGTACATTTTCATAGTAGCTATAAATAGTTTGTGACATTCTTCAAGATTCTCACACTCTGTCTTATGCTGTAAATGAGATTTTTCCAAAAAAGCTTCCATTTTGTCTTTGAACGGTTGCAAATTTTCCGAAGTTGAATTTGCGATGATTTTTTCAGTCTTTTTCTCACATTCTACAACACACATTTACGTAAAATTGAAATTATATAATTAGGTAAAAACTAATTACCATTTAGTTTTGTTTTGAGCCTATTAAGTTCCCTTTGCATAGCTTCAAAATCCAATGCCATAGCTCTGCGTACATCTCCAGGTTCAGGTACTGGTAAAGGAAGCGGCCTGTCATCAGATTCAGTGAATTTTCTGGCAAAAGTACTGACGACAAAGTGCAATAGTGTTACACCTGCTTGACTGCCTTTAACATCTTTTAATTTGCTCAGTACGTCCAATCCAAAACCGTCTGCTTGACCACGTGCCACATTTCCACCATTCATGTAATTGCCTAGAGTTAATACTAGTGCCAGCACTTTTTTTAGTTCAGAACTTTTGGTGAGGAATTCGCAAGTGCAACGGAAATTGTCTAAAGTGTGACTGATTGTTGTTATTGCGTCTTCAAATTCCACCTAAAAGAGAATCATATTCAGACAACATTGTTTTTTTTTTCTAGTTTGTTAAGTAGGTACCTGAAACGTAAGACAAGCAATTCGTTCAGAAAAGTCCGATATTTGACTTAAATCATGTAAAAACTGCTCTGGTTTGTCCAAAGACACATCAGGCCTGGTGTTTAAATGCTCATTAATTTGGGCCAACTCTTCATCTGTAGCTCTCTAAAAGTTGCTTTATGAAACCTCAAAGAGTAGCACAAGCAATTGCATATTTACCACTTCATAAATCTGCTGCAAGGCCTCTAAACTAACTATAGAAGTATCAAAACTGTAAATCGCATTTTCGATTTCGTGAAAGTCTTGACGTAAACTTTGAGCTAAAATTCCAACGCACTGAGATCGTTTTGGGTCTAGTAGTTTGACTACTTCGACTTTGGGTTTTTGTTCTGGTTTTTTTACAGTAGGAGTTCGATTTATTACCTAGAAGAATTTTGAGTTTCAGGAGTTTTACATTATGTGATTAATGGGTCAGTTAAGTTGGCCCCCCCCCATAGAAAATTTCTGGATGAAAATTATCCCATAATTTTGCTCTCATTTTGCTCCATTTTGCTCCACTAATTTCGATTTTTGCTCCATTACAGTGGAGAGACTATGGGCCATATTCTCCGTAGTTCATAAAGACTGGCTTAGTGGAAAAGCTCGGCTTTGTCACACAAAAAGTCAAACGTTTCCACTAAGCCAGGCTTTGTGAACTACGGAGAATATGGTCCTATGTGGCCTATTAGGTGGGGGGGGGGGCTGAATTAACGCTAGCGTCGCTAGCCCCCCCAGTGAAAATTCTGAAATTTGATCATGCTCATTTTGTTCTCCGAGTTTTGCTCCATTTTGCTTCACTATCGGCGAGTTTTGCTCCATTACCAGGAGAGACCTACAGAGCTCCCAAGAATCTCTCCCAGCCCCCCAGTGAAAATTCTGGAATTTGATCATGCTCATTTTGTTCTCCGAGTTTTGCTCCATTTTGCTCCACTATCGGCGTGTTTTGCTCCATTACTAGGAATGACCTACAGAGCTCCCAAGAATCTCTCCTAACCCTCCCACACCAGTAAAAATTTTGTTTGATCATATTCATTCTGTTGTCCGAGTTTCGCTCCGTTTTGCTCCATGATCGGCGAGTTCTGCTCCATTACCGGAGCTGCTTTCGGGTGCCACGCTTTGAGCACTCAGGCGCTCTGGCGATTTTCAAGCATTTGAGTGCAAAGCGCATTGAGTATAATGGTCGCATTATTTGTTGTCCTTGTCTAGTCAACAGGCAACAGGCTATTAAGTATATCTCAATCGTTTTGATAGGTTCATAAAATCTGTCGCTATGGAGGGCGAATCCCCACGAGCGTAATTAGCTGAGTCGGCATGAACGTCAATTCTACGACAATTTTGGCGTAACATCCCGCATGTGGTGCATCAGAACCAAATCAAAAACATTTTCTAACTCAAATATATTGTTTATTTTTTGCCAGGTTGTGATAGGAATTCACTAATTTGTTGTTGTAGTCCTTTTCCTTTGGTTTTTTGTGGCTTTCTGTGATTGTTCTATCATAGCGGGGTTCGACTATTCAGCACGGAGTTAGAGTGGAGTAAGAACAGATTTTTGTGACGTGATCTAGGAGTGATTAGAGTGAAAAATTAAAACACGAATGATATGTTTGTTCCAAAACAACAGTCAACTGTGACTTTACAACGTTCCGGGTTTCCAATTTTTTTTTTTTCACTTTTGTCTTTGGTCTTTCGTCTACTAGAAATTAACTTCAATCCCTCCACTCCACAATAATGAATAATATAATGCTTTTGCGTCTGTTTAACTTTGTCAAGGAAATTTTCCCATCATGTTGAATAAATTTTAAAATCAGATCAATTATTTAACTCGATTATTTTACCAATTCCTGCATCCATACATAAACGATTTTTAATTTTTTTAACAACAACCGCAACGTGACAATTATAAGCTTGACAGTTTCCACATTTCACCTCTGCGCATGCTTACTCTGAAAAATTCTCTTTCCGAGGTGGAACTTTTGGAGTGAGCTCCATTTACTCCACTCCATATAGTGGAACGCTAATGGAGTCACCCCTAATACGTCAAAAAGCAATACCTGAACGGATGGAGTACGAATGAAGTCATTCGGAGTAAGCAAGCCGAACCCACCTCATATATCAGAAGAAACAAAACCAAACGTCACAATTTCGCCACGATTACGCCGAAAAGTTCAACAAAACCCAACTTTTTGTTGTAGTGGCAGCGTAATGTCAAAAATTCAAGATGGCTGCACTGCCGCCAATGAAATCGTCAATTACGCCCGTGATTTCTCGCCCTGAGTGCGAATTCTCATGAGCGTAAGTTGACATGTCTGGCGTAATCACGTGATAAAATGGATGGATTTTATTGGTAAAATATTCGCCATGCTGGAGATTGTACCAATCAAATTACACCATATTATCACGTGATTATGCCAGAAATGTCAACTTACGCTCATGAGAACTCGCCCTTAGTCCTGTCCCATTGGCTTTCTCTCCCCTTTCAAACGTCGTCCGTCATGATCCGTGCTGTAGGCTTCAACAAAGGCGGAACACTCGTTCTCATGGAAACGCTGCTCCCATGTTCCAAGAATAAGGACCCTAGAGGTCATTCCAGGTAGTGGAGCAAAACTCGCCAATCATGGAGCAAAATGGAGCAAAACTCGGAGAACAAAATGAGCACGATCAAATTTCAGAATTTTCACTGGGGGGGGGCTGGGAGAGATTCTTGGGAGCTCTGTAGGTTTCTCCTGGTAATGGAGCAAAACTCGCCGATAGTGGAGCAAAATGGAGCAAAACTCGGAAAACAAAATGAGCATCATCAAATTTCAGAATTTTCACTGGGGGGGGGGGGGGGCTGGGAGAGATTCTTGGGAGCTCTGTAGGTCTCTCCTGGTAATGGAGCAAAACTCGCCGATAGTGGAGCAAAACTCGGAGAGCAAAATGAGCATGATCAAATTTCAGAATTTTCACTGGGGGGGGGGGGGGGGGGGGGGGGGGGCTAGCGTTAATTCAGCCCCCCCCCCCCACCTAATAGGCCACATAGTCTCTCCACTGTAATGGAGCAAAAATCGAAATTAGTGGAGCAAAATGAGAGCAAAATTATGAGATAATTTTCATCCAGAAATTTTCTATGATTTTTGATTCTCTACAAAATCTTAGGTCATTTGGAACCCCATAATATACAGTTGGAAATTTGCATGGAAAGGATCCAAAACATTCTAATTTTGTTAAGCCACTCTGTATAGAGTTGATATTTTAGGATTTCATAGAACATTTTGTAATTTTTTACAATTTCCAAAATGAAAGTTCTTACTTGTCTAGAAAATAGTTTCGTAAAGTCTTCAGGTAGCGATTCTAGTGGCAATTCCTCGATTTCATCCCACAAAGCTGAGCTACTGTCGTTTGAGCTGTTTGACGACTGAGCTACTAAAATTCTGGTCCAGTAGAGCGGTTTCATTGGCACTGGCGGATTGATTGGCGGCTTCTTAACAGCTAAAACATCTCAATAATGAAACGAGACAATTAAGAATTTATTTTTAAAAATTTTAACACATTTGTCACTTGGAGGGATCTTTTTTGCATAAATTTTGGTTAATATTTCAGTGCAAAATAATATTGGCAAGAGTGTATTATTAGTAATATCACAACAGGTAGAGGTAAGCTGAAAGGGGTTAAAAGGACATCTTGAAATAAATATACCAGAAAGCAATATTATAAGCCAATTACCATAAAAGAAGCTCGAAAATATTCATTGGCTTACCTAAACACGAATAGAATGGCATTATTTGGATTCCTAAAGATAAAATTTCTTTAAAATTCAAGCTTCATATTGCCGAAACACAAGATTATCTATTTGTTAACAATAAATTCTTACCTTCTTTTTGAGCATTGAACCCTCCTGGAGGCGGCGCAGGCATCGGCAAAGGTCCACCAATTGGCGGTGGAGGTGGCATACCAGCAAATGGAGGTGGAGGTGGCATACCAGGAAAAGGAGGTGGAGGTGGCATTCCAGGAAACGGAGGTGGAGCAGGCATTCCAGGCATTGGAGGTGGAGGTGGCATTCCAGGTATTGGAGGTGGAGGTGGTATTTCAGAAACTATAGGTAATGGAGGTGTAGGAATTTGCTGGGATGGCATTGGTGGTGGTGGTGGAGGTATAGGAACTTGTTGTGGCATAGGAGGCGGTAAGGGGTGGAGGTGGCGGAGGTGCAAAAGAGACATCTAGGGACTGTTTCTGAAACAAATGTATTCAAAAACATCTTAAAATTAATTGAAATATATGTACAAGTTGTTACAAATTCGCAAGTAAGTATGAGGATTTTGATTATTATACACTATTTCACTATTAGAAAAAACATTAAATCTATAAATCTGCGCTGAATTGGGTTTGATAACTCAACTCGCACGGATTTCAAGATATTGAAACTTTAACCGCAGACCCTGTATCCTTTATGGTTCCTGGATCCCCATTCTTACTCATGAATTTGTAACACCTTGTATAAGTAAGTACCTACCTTAATTTCATCTTTTTCTGTTTGGGTCCCAATTTGCACATAAACATCTTCTTCAGTTTGAGTTTCACACTCTTTAAAATCCAAAAAAACTTGTGAAGATTTCTCTATAGTCGTAGTTTCTACTGTACTCGTTGCAACGTTCACTTTTTCCAATAAAAATCCTTTTTCATTGATTGGCGATTCAAAGTCTTTTACAGCCGACGAAGTTAAATTTTGTATTTCAATCTGAAATTCATAGACATCAAAATGTTTAAATAAAACCCTTATATAGAAAATCTTCAGTACCAACGTTTTATATTTTTCCACTTCTTGCCTGAGGCTCCGAATTTCTTCTTCAAACGATAAAATTTCCACATCTCTGGCCGAACTTTTCATTTCAATTGGTCTCAAAACTAATTCATGACCTACAATATTTCCAATTAAATAACTTGTTTATTAATAAAAATAATCAATTACCTGCTACATCGTCAACAATATCATTAGGCAACAGTTCACATGGTGAACTAGGAGGCCAGTACAGTGAGCTCAGCCTACCAGGAGTTTGTGGTTGAGATTGCTGAGATTCTCCATGGCTCCAAAAATAAATACAATCGGGCTAAAACAAGCTTTGTAAAGCTTCATAATAACATTACACATAATATAACTCACTCGAAAAATTGTAGTAGGCGGTACTCCAGGATCAGGTAATTGTTTCAGGACTCCAGCTGCTAAAAGATGAGTACAAAATTGAGATGCCAGCAGTTTTAGCTCGGCTATGCCCAATTGCAGCTTGGCAGGGCTGTCGGCACTTAGCTCAGATACGTACCAGTTGATTAACATGTAACCTGAAATTTTATTTAGGTACACCCACTTTTCACAAAACTAAAAACAAAAATTCAACCTCACGCTCGATACTGCTAGTATATGATTCATATCAGACTAAATTAATTATTTTTGCGAAAAGTAATTAAGATATTTTTTTGTAAAAACGAGAGCTGTTGCGTAAAAAAAATAAAAGTGAAATTTGTTCACTACCATCTTAGATAAATTGAATAATTTTTTCCTAAGTTGCAATTGTAGTTATTAAGCGGCAAGGAAATGGGCCAATAAATGCGGTTTTTAATCAGTGTAATTAGCCATTTAGATTGGTCTAAATTTTTTAATGGTTTTCGCAATAATAAGGCGCGTGTTATTGTTTTATTGTTGATTCTCTTACCTAGAAAATCCATTTGGAAATGGATTTTTCTTTTATCAAAACGAATCACACACACACATGGCATTATTAAAATAATTATTCACATTTTCTTACACCCAGTGCACATCTTTGACTAAATTTATTTGTATATTTTGCCAATAATAATATGACAATAAAAAAAAAAGTAGTTTTATCCTATATACTGATAAGAATTCAAAAAATTTAATTTGCAGTGCAAATATGTACAGATCTTTATAATCCTTGATCCAATAATCATCCGTTTTTTGGTTTGATAATAGGGAAAATATTTATTGGTTTTTGGTGTTATCAATTGATACTGGATTCGATTGTCAATAAAGTATGCAGGATTTTCAATTTTCTGTTCAATAAGCTGCTCATAAAATTGAAAATTTTATATTTATTATTTGTATTACAAATTCATAATTTTGAATTTAATGCTCTTCAAAATAAGCTGTTATGAAGTTTTCCATTTTTTTAAAAATAGTTAGGCTATAATTAATGGGAAAATGAAACTAGGTCTAGCTACCCTTCAGCTGTATTGGGTCAATTTTTGTTTTTTTTTTCCTTGGAAAACTCTCCCTATCAGTGAGATCTTTTCTTCAAATCCCTAGACTTTTCCGTGAAAAATTGTGTTACTTTTCAGCGACATTTCAACATTTTTTTGAACTTCTTGCCTGGAAAATCTTTTCTATCTATAAGGTTTTTTTCTCAAAAACTCCTTTTTTTATGAGTTTTTTTTCTACTTTCAGGCTACTATCAAGGGAATAACAGAAGTTGTATTGCGTTATTCCACCTTTTAGCAACATAGTGAAACTTTTTTGTTTTCTTTTCTTCAAACCCGCTCTTTTATAAGATTTGTTTTCTGTTTTTCTCAATTTCTCTGGAATTTCTTATCTCTATTTGTCAGTTTTTGTCTATTCCCGGCTCTTGAAATTGTCGAATTGAAAAAAATTGCCTGGAATAAGAAAAACATTAATTTCCATTTATCTACCAATTTTTTCTCTTTATTTCTCAATTTTTGAAACCGAATTAACACCTGCAAACCCTATTATCCATATCTTTCCATTTTCCTTCAGATCTTTTTTCATGAACCATATCGCGAAGGAAACTTTAGTGCCTAAGTGACTTTTACCGACTTTAGTGTTCATATTATGAAGCATTGCATCTTTTTATTACTGTAAGCATATATCTACTGGCGATTTCCTAAGAAAATCTCCAAGTTCTAACTCTTTTACTGACTCGAACTACTTACCTGTAATCTTCCATGTTGAATCAAGGAATTATCAGACTAAGTCAGTCACCCGATATTACTAGTTCTAAAAAAACTAGACGCCTCCGGAAAAATAAAATGGCGGCTAGTAGTGGACTATAGAAAAGTAAACGGGAAAGATAAATACCCAATTCCAAACATAACAGACATCTTGGACAAACTTGGTAGATGCCAGTACTTCACGACCTTGGATGTGGCAAGTGGTTTTCACCAAATCGAAATGATTAAAGAAGATATATGCAAGTATGTATGTCCGGATGCCGTTTGGCCTGAAAAACGCTCCAGCTACGTTCTAGAGGGTAATGGATAACGTTTTGAAAGGTCTCCAAGGAGAAAATTACATAGGGTACATGGAAGATATCATTGTATTCAGCACATTACTTCAAGAGCATCTGGTTTCAACGTCTCAGAGAAACTGGATTCAAAATTCAAATGAGCAAATGCGAGTTCCTAAAAAAGGAAGTTGCCTTTCTTGGATATACTTCTACATCAGAAGGAATAAGACCGAATCCGGCTAAAATCAAAGCCATACTTGACTATCCAATACTGTGAACCACAAAGGAAATCCGAGGATTTTTATAGGGAGTTTATCAAGGACTTCGCTAAAATCACTAAACCTCCTCTACTTTACGACCTTGGATCTGGCCAGGGGTTTTCACTAAATCGAAATGCCTTATATGCAAAACTGCTTTCAATGTCGAAAATGGTCATTACGAGTATGTTCGGATGCCGCTTGGCCTAAAAAACGCTCCAGCTACGTTCTAGAAAGTAATGAATAACATTTTGAAATTGCTAGTGTACATGGACCCAATTAATGTTTGCGATACCTGTCAGTCAAACAAATATGATGGGAATCCATCAGCCAAACCAAAATTCATGATTACTTCAACACCGACTAGACCTTTGGAAATTATTCATCTATGTAGATACCTTTCAAGCTGGAGGGTAATTTTTTTTTTAAATTGTTGATTATTCCTTCTCAAAATATGGACAAGCTTACCCCATGGAGGAATCAAACTCAGTAAATGTTCTTAATGCTGTAATGACCCGAGAAAAATAAACCCGTAATTTACAATGTCTTAACAGTAAAAATTAGATGTAATCAAATAATCAAAAATTGAATCTCAAATATTCCAAATCAGTATCAATAAAACTGGAAAATGATGAGACAAATTAGGTATCTAGGTCGACCAATGGAATTGAATTACAGATGGTCAAACGACCACCCATATTGTCGATTGTGGTGGGTAAATAATAGATAGTATAAAAAGGGCGATCATTCAAGTAGAGAAAATCATCAATCAATTATCGAGAATTAGGACTCAATAATTAGTAATATTCAGAAGTGGCGATTTATCTCCACTATAAAAAGTCGGGCTTCGGAAATGTAAAAATTACAGTAAATAACTCGAATTAAGAAACAAATAGCAAACGTTCCAGTTTTTATGTGCATGCTCTAGCTATTTTGAAGTGAACAATAATTAAAATAATTAAGTAACTTCAAGGGCGATAATTTAAATGTAAGTACTCTAGTGACAAATTTTATTTTGACTTTATCAATGTTGAAATGACTATGAAGTAAATTGACTATGAAACTTTATTGTATAATAGTTATGTACATTACAAGTGCGTTTATGAACATGATTACAATAACGAGTGTGAAAGATTAGAACGACGAGGTCGTAGACCGAGTCGTTTTAATCACACGTGTGATGTACAACTTTTTATCTACAAAGCGATAAATGAGAATGTTTTTTCAAGCATTTTCGTTTATTAGTCGTTGTCTACTTTCATTTTACCTTTACAGGTTTAACTATGACATGTGTCAAATCACAAAAACTAGTTGTGTTATAAATTCATGACCTAATCCATAATACCACTAGTTATATTATGAATTTATAACCTAGTCTAGTTATGGGTGTCATGACATGACTCAAATACTAGAAAAATGGTTATGTAAAAACGTCATAATCAAACGCTTGTAGATAAATTAAGTTTGAAACTTCTCAAGTATAAAACTGTTAAAAACTAAATGAAAATTTTAATAAAGGAACTGTTGAGTGCCTGTGGAATTGATGGGAAAAAAGCAGTAGGTATCCTGTGTTATCGAAGGGATAAAATCCAACCATACAAACAGATACGAGAGCCGGCAGATATGAAACGCCTGAGGGACTTTATGTTGAATATCTATCAGCGTTAAAAGCAGAACGGTCGACACCGGAAAGATACTGCTCCAAAACGACCATGTTAGGCAATTTTTCACCAGGATAATCAAGTATAATCTCCTGCTGGATTATGTGATGTTTCATTTATGTCATACTCCCCATCAAAATCTGGGATACACGAGGATCTAGAACACTTAATTTCTTCTGTGAGAACAGATCGAAAGTCACCTTTTCTACATTTAAAATCGACGAAAAAATTAACTCACTAGCACAGCCTGAATCGCAAGCATTCCATCGAGGCCTGCGGGTAACGTCATCACTATAAGCTGCTGAAAGTGACGTCACTCGCAGGCCCAGAAGTTGATGTGGAGATAGCATTGAGGGAGAGAGTTAGGGAAATATGACACAATTGACACATCACATAACCCAGTATAATCAGATTATGCTTGATTATCCTCGCGAAAAATTGCCTATTACAATGATCCAAACTGCGCTGGATCATCCCATTCGAAAAGGTTCAAGTCGAGTTACAAGTTGATTTCGAAAAGAGAGAAGAAGACAGCAAGTGCCATAGAGATAGAAATAACGTTACATAGTACTCCAGCAGTCCAGCAGGTCACTTATCGTACAACTACACCAAGCCGAAAATTCAGTTCACTGTCACAGAATGGACCATGTCTCAAAGAACTGAAGTAGGCCAAGGAAAAATTTGAGAAGTCAAGTTGTGCGAATCTATTCCAAGGTAAAACTGCTTAATACATCCTATTATTTCGATTACTGGGTAAACGAACAGCCTACACAATCACACGTAAATTCTAGATGTGCTACGATACTAATTAAGGAACATGATGCAAAATCACTGGGAATAAAGTACACCAAGCATTGAAGGTTATGGAGGCACTTTAGTCCATTTTCTTGGTAAAGCTGACATGAAACTGAAAGTGGACCAAATAGCAGCTGAAGTGGAAGCATTGGTACTACTGGATGAAGCCCAGGAAGTACCTGTAATAGCGGGTCAAATTCTCCTTGATAATGAGGACACCATTATGGAATTAACAGTTCCGCACATGATGCCCTTGCGAAAACATTGGACGTCCCTCAGCGGAAAATACCTCTATGGGCTACGAAACGTACTATGATTCCACTAAGGACATCTCGTGGACGTAATTCTGGAGAAGTCTATATTCAAGGGGGACTACGAACCTGCCCTGGCCAAGAAAAGTTCCGGGACGAGTGTATCACGAATGCTGAAGGTGGCTACGTTACTGTAACCAATCTATGTCACCTAGAGTTTGAGCCTAAACTTTGCTACCATCAAATACAAATAGAATGGAAGAAGATTCGATTCCAAAAACGGCCTTTATAACACAAACCAGATGACCACTATGAATATTTGAGGGTTCCTTTTGGTCTTTGTAATGCTCCTGCGGTTTTCCAGAGAACTATTAATAAAGTGTTAGGACCTCTTCGGTATGGCAAAGCTTTATTCTATATGGACGATGTGAACTAGAATCTTTTAGGAAAGCCAATCTTACCCTGAGGTTATCCAAATGCCAGTTTTTTATGGAAAAGGAGGAATACTTGAGTCACGAAGTCAGCAGAGAAGGAGTACAGCCAGGCCTTAAGAAGACAGAAGCCATGAGCAAGTTTCCATTGCCCACAGACGCTCGTGGTGTAAGAAAATTCTTGAGATTGGCTAGTTACTTTCATGTACATGGTTTCACTACGATCGCAAAACTGTTGACAGTGCTCACACAAAAAGACGCTTATTTTGAGTGGAGAGATGAATAACGTGCAGCATTCAAGGCCATCAAAGAAAAGTTGATCACTGGACCACTATTAGCAATCTATAATCCTGAGTTGGTAACTGAAATTCCTTCGAGGAAATCTGAAAAAGGACGGATTATGAGGTCAAACCCGACGTGAAGGCTGATCCATACATAGTAGAAACCAACGTGGGCTCTGGAAACATGTAGATCTGAACTCAGAACCCAACGTGGGCCTGAGACGATAAAAGATTGGAATCCAAAGTGGAATCCGATGTTGGAGTGAATGGGTACTCAAGGTTCTATTAGTAAAACGGTGGAGGTTTTTTTTTACTTATTTGTTTTATTATTATCTAGCCTATAGTTTAAGCAATTGAGGACACTAACACAAAAGTCAGTTATTAGGCATGTACACATTTTGTACGAATACTAAGTATTGTTTTTCCACAGGTATGAAAAGGCTTCCACGGGGACCTGAATAGATATAGCATGGCCAACTGTGAAGATATTTATTCAAACCACCACCTTCATGATGAATGCACTAGGTACTTGGAAGTCTGATGCAATGGCCCTTAAAAACAAGCCCAGGGTAGTCTTGGCTAGAAAGTCATCCGAGCGAGTTATGTCCCTGTGTCAAAGCCTTCTATTCTATTCTCATTTGTGGATTATTATTGATAAAACATTTATATTTGCGTTTAATTTTGAATATCTGAAGTTCTCGGGAGAAAAGATTCTACTAAAAATTGTAACCAGTTTACGAGACAAAAATCATAAATCAAATTACTCAAGTATCTAAATTGGGAGCCTAAATATTTACAAAATAATCTCGTTTATACATCGGGGTATTAAGTAGCATTAAAAATTTAAGTGACGTCAAAAGGGAATTACCTTCGAATTTTTCATACAATCTAAAATCCAATTTTTCAGGAACAAACTTAGGCCTCTGTAGTCGTGCTTCTAATTCCGCTCTACTCAAAGAAGTCGCTTTTTGTAGAGTATTACCATCGGAAATCGCACCTACGTCCAAAGGAACTGACATGTGTCTTCTATAAGCTGGTGGACCACCTAAAAAATATTTCAAATATAAAATACAGTAGGTACTTGTAAATTTAAACCTTCAACTAAAGTTAATACATACAATATGCAAATGATCCGCCCTCATATCAAATTACCTAAATTGTTTGTCTGCTCATTATTATTTTTGCCATGATTGTCCAAAATTCCACCTTCACTTTGACAAGGACTCTTGATGTCTTCGCTAACTTCCAAAACGCCAGTAGAAAACCCAGTACCATCACCCTCTAAGCTTATCTGAGACAGTTTTGTGATGCCAAGTTTCCCCAATTTTGTAGATTTTTCTTGGTCGATTCTAGCGCGATATTCGTTGAGCTTGAAAATGTTTAACGGCTGAAACACTTCATGGAAGTCTTCGTTGATGTCATTTTTTAGTTGCGATATTGGTTCAGTTAAGGGTGGCATTTCTTGAGCTGCTGGAGTTAGAAGAGCCAAAGTAAAATTGGATTCTGAGCTAAAAAAAATTACAAATTTGAACTTGATACAGTTTGAATTAATTAGGCTCACCTTTGAGGTGTTTCAACAACAGGTAAGATGACTTTTTCAACTTCGTTTTCTTCAGGAACTACGCTGGTCCACTCTTCAGTTTTGGCAATAGATGATTTTTTACCACCTAAAAGGCGCATTTTTTGACGGCCTCCTGATTTTTGATGGCCCTTGGAAGCTTTGGTGCTTCCTTCTGATGTTTGTAAATTACCCATTTTAGTTGCTGAAACTTTTTTTTTTGACCTTATTGGTAATTAAAATTTTGCAATATTACGTACCTCTCTAGTAAGAAATCCTAATTTTTGCACATTTCACCTTTCAAGAAGCTTTATAATGAACAGACCGCAATGCACTAAAAAAGTCAATGCACTAAATTGTCGTACATTAACAATGCGTAAAAATTGTCGTTCCATTGCATCAAAACAAAAAAGCCGTTTTTTTTTTCTCGTCGTTCTGCTCTGGGGCGCAACGTTTCCGTCACTATTGTGGATTTATCGGACTGAAGGGCATGGCCCTGCAATGTTGCGTGGTTGTTACAAGAAATCCGATTTTTTTAAAACTAAATATTACCAGATTAGTTCATATACTGAAATGAAACTATTTAATAATACCTAGCAGAAGAGGGTAATTAATTATAGCAATTCACTTACATTGAAGAAGAAATAACGTTCATTTCTATCAAGTAGGACTCATATTGCATCATTTTGTTTTTTTTTTTGCACAAGAAACACTACAGGAAATAAAGATTATCAGTTTTATGAGCTCACATCTAATACATAATTTATTTTTATTCCCAGTTCTCTAGAAGTTCTCTGGCAACGCTGTCTGGATACAATAATCAATTTCCAGTTTAGGGTTGGTTATTCCTTTTTCCCTTATGAGATCGTTGTGGGCAATAACTTGGCACTCGAAATTTCAATTTCTAATGTTCTATAATCTTTTTTGAAGCGTCTATATACTCGTGTAAAAACACAGTAATTAAATTTGCATTTTTATAATTGAAAAGGTCAAAGGAAATAAGTTTTTGATAAGACAATGCTGATGACCAAATTTCTGAATAAAGCGACAGCTAAGCTCTATTTTTAGATGTTTAAGAATACATTAATAGTTATTTATACACCAAGTGAGTTAAATTAATGTTTATTCATGAGAAGAAAGTTTAACCCACGAGCCCTAGCGAGTGAGTTAATTTTCTTCGAATGAATAAACATTCTAACTCACGTGATGTATACAAAATTTTATCTCATTTTGTGGAAATTTATAGTTATTTATACACCAAGTGAGTTAAATGAATGTTTATTCATGAGAATAAGTCAGTCAGTCAGTTTAACCCACGAGCCTTTAGCGATGTATACAAAATTTTATCCCATTTTGTGGAAATTTAAAAAATAAAGTACAAGGAAAAATGCCGAGAGTGAGTTAAAAATATTTTAAATCACTGAGGTTTCAGATTTTAGTTGGGCAGAGTGACCTAAAATGCCAAGAGTGAGTTAAAATGTTTTTAAATCACTGAGGTGATAAACGTCTACTTACCTTTATTGTTATACGTTCAATAATGTCATTTTTAAACGTCAAAATGGGTTAAAAAAATTAAGTACAAAGAAAAATTCCGGGAGTGAGTTAAAAATATTTTAAATCACTGAGGTGATAAACGTCTACTTACCTTTATTGTTATGCTTTCAATAATGTCATTTTTAAACGTCAAAATGGGATAAACAAAGTTATACCTTTGCTCTATTTTTATATTAGAGAGGATATCACAAAACATGATTTTCTTCATATTGTTGCAAGTTTCTCTAACACCCCATTATGGCTCATATGAATAAAACAGAAGTAAATGCTCTTGCTCACGTTTTTTGTGATAAACATATTCAGCTTTAATGCAGCAAACAGAGACGTAGGTAGAGTAAGAGTATTTGCTACTTCAATTTTAATAGGTTTATAGGGAATTTAATTGGCTCTAATTAAAGCTAAACTACATTGAAATCGGATGCAAATTAACGAAACTATGAGGCAAAAAATGTCTCAGTGTCATTTTTGAAAATTTTTCAAGGAAAAGTTCAATGTTTGATAAATTCAGTTTTGAAACTTCTCAGGTGCAAAACCGTTGAAACCAAATCAAAATCTTGATTTATAGGTTTGTAGAGAACAGGAGCGCAACTAGCTTGTTGGTTTTGGGGGGGCTTGAGCCCCGGGTCTCTATAAGTCGATTTCGTAACAGTATTATGATGTTTTTCAAAACTACTACAGTACGTATTTCACAAATGCCTGAATTTGACGGAAATACTCTGCTATAAATTTTGTTCTTCGATGTAATCTACGTTCTTGGTTGAGAAAAAAAAAAACAAAGTTATAAAAGACGGCCGCGTTCACCAAATACAAACGTTGGTAAACGCTTTGCGATTGTTCTGCTGAACGCTACGTTGAATTTGTGTTGAAACCAAACATGGTTTTGCAAACGGTCGCCATTTCTGAAAGCATAATTTGAGAGTGTTTATAATTTTCAACACTTTCTTTGTGCTTTGTGTGGTGACATGACACTCAGAGGGTGACGTTCTATCATTGAAAAGTTGAATCGTTCAGCAGAACCAAGAGTTTACCCAACGTATTCTGTTGGTACCTATTTGTAAACTGTTTACAAGCCGTTTTGGTTCTGGTGAACGTAGCCATTTTTATGTACCATCGTCACCAAAAGTAACTGGGATAGCATCACGTTAGTTCTTGTCTTATATGAATTTTATTGTCAAATATTTGTCAAACTATGAATATAATGCATTGAAATAAATGACAGTAGAATTAGTCCAGGAGATTATTAGGCATTATTTGTGTCCCAGATACTTTTGGTGACGATGGTACATACATACAGTCATGAGCATAAAAAGTGGGACACCCGTTTTTTCCTATTGTAAAACGAGCTCACCAGCTATATAGTCCGACAAATACCATTTTAAAGTCACGTGATACTGGTGTCAAGAAACGTATGTCCATTGATATTCAGGCCTATGATGTATCCTCTCCTGTTATTTTAACAGTCTTGTTATAGCTCAAAACCTATACCTATCTCTACTTTTACGTGTAGAATAAACAGTGACAGATAACTTAACGTTGCTGTTAAAATAACAGGAAATGATACATCATAGGCCTGAATGTCGTTGATATCACCTACAAAAAGCTACTGGTGGTTAATTACTATTGAATTTTAATATATGTTTCCACTAGCATTTTACAAACGCGTTTCTGAAGTAGTATTGACCAATCAGAGGGTAATTTTAATAAGTACTTGCAATTGTTGCGAAACTCACTTTTGTCGCATCTGCTGTCTGTTGTAATACATTCTGAACTTAAACTGGGTACCCGTTTTCTATTTGCTTCTTTTCGAGTTGGAAAAAGGTTAATATAGTCAAAATTATTAGCCATGTTTGTTCGTTGTATTATTTTCGAAAATAACTTTGACAAACTAATTGATGACAGTGACGGATTCTATTTTAGGTGAGAATTTTATGAACAATAATTAGACAGACATTTTTTTGTCAATTTTACTATCACCGCTGTTTGAGATGTATTCAACAAGGATAGAGAAAAATCACGTGACTTTAAAATGGTATTTGTTGGACTATACCTACGGCAATGACAAGGATTGTCATATTTGACAAAAAATCCATTGTAGAGAAAAGACTGATTTACCCAAAATAGCGAAAAATGCTTTTCTATGGAAAAATGACAAGACCTGTCAGTCGGGTGTCCCACTTTTTATGCTCACGACTGTACATAATATGTAAGTAAAAATACAGGGTGTCTCAGCCGAGAGTGACCCATTTTGAATACTTATAACTTTCAAACCAGGTGTGCTAGCTACCTGCAGTTTGTGCCATACGATTTCTCTTGGCCTGAAGCAGTGGCGTAGCTAGAACAAACGTGGACGTCGGCGACATCTAAATTGCGAGGCCCTTTTTATGTAGAGTGGCCATAATATTTCTTGTGACAAAAAGCTGGATATAACGACAGGGACGGGTAGCCGCTGGCCGGCAGGCCCGCCTTCAATTTTTTGAGTGTCGCGCCTCTTTTTTCGGGTATATCAACGGTATTATTCTAGAAATCTAGAGCCATTGCAGATTAAAGATTCTGAAGGTTTCGAAAGGTCTTGAGGATAAAGACTCTAAAGACCAGCTCTGGAGACCAATGCAAGATTCTAAGGCACTTGATCTAAATCCTTGGAACTTAGAAGAATCCTAATACTTTGAACAACTTAGAGATCTTGAAAATTCTTGAGGCTCATGACTAAAAACTCTGGGGATTTTGAAGTCTCCGAAGACTCATTTTTTCAAATATTTTGAAATAAGGACTTTACCAAGCTAAGATCAGAAGATACAAAAGATGTCGGGGTCTTGATCAATTATTCTAGGGCCATTGCAGACTAAAGATTCTGAAGATCCTGAAGGTTTCGAAATGTCTTGGGGATAAAGACTCTAAAGTTCATAGCTTTGGAGACCAATGCCGGATTCTAAAGCACTTGATCTAAAGCCTTGGAACTTGGCTTGGGAGAGTCCTTATACTTCGATCACCTTAGAGATCTTGAGGAGTCTTGAGGCTCATGACTGAAAACTCTGGTGATTTTGAAGTTTCTGAAGACTTTTTTATTAAATATTTTGGAAGAAGGACTTTACTGAGCTAAGATCAGAAGATGCAAAAGATATTGGCATCTTGATCAATTATTCTAGAGCCATTGCAGACTATGGATTTTGAAGATCCTGAAGGTTTGAAAATGTCTCGGGGATAAAGACTCTAAATACCACAGCTTTGGAGACCAATGCAAGATTCCAAGGCACTTGATCTGAAACCTTGGAACTTGGAAGAATCTTTATACTTTGCAAAACTTAGAGATCTTGAAAAGTCTTAACTGAAGACTCCTGGGATTTTTAAGTCTCTGAAGACTATTTTTTTTTTCAAATATTTTGTGAAATAAGAACTTTACTGCGCTAAGAGCTAAGAAGACTAAAGACCATAGCTTTGGAGACCAATGCAAGATTCTAACGCACTTGATTTAAAACCTTGAAACTAGGAAGAATCCTTATACTTTTCACACCTTAAAAATTCAGCGCTCATGACTGAAAATTCTGGGGATTTTGAAGCCTCTGAAGACTAATTTTTCAAAATATTTTGAAATAAGGACTTAACAGATTTAAAATCAGAAGATGCAAAAGATGTCGGCGTCTTGATCAATTATTCTAGGGCCATTGCAGACTGAAGATTCTCAAAATCCTGAAGGTTTCGAAATGTCTTAAGGATAGAGACTCTCAAGACCATAGCTTTGGAGACCAATGCAAGATTCTAAGGCTCTTGATCTAAAGCCTTGGAACTTGGAAGAATGCTAGTACTACAGAATACTACGTACGAAATAACGATATTTAGTCAAAAATAATAGAGAGATGTCGGTGAAGTTGTGAACCAGATATCGCGTATGGACGGTATTAAAGTCAGGACTTATTTTTTTACGTAAAGCGGTATCATACTTTTAAATTACAGTTATCGGAAAACAGTTTTACGTAAAATTTGCCTATTCGTAGCCGTTATTTTATAATCTTAACCCAACTTGTACCTTTTTCTGATTTGTCAATTTTGATTCTGTTGTTTATGGTCAGGGTCACAGGATTTGAATTTTCAATGCTTTTCCATTATTTTTTGAAAATAAGTTTAACATAACATAACCTATAATATTCAACAAGCCCGTTGTCAAATACCTGCGCATGCCTATTTAAACATTTTTTAGGCGTTATTCAAAATAGCGCTTAACGTAAATGTTGGGTAAATTACTTTATGCGGTAATGTTATTTCAGTACGTAGTCTTAAAAATCGAATCGCGCATAGGTTTAATGTCAAAATAACTTGAGCGCTAATACTGCTTGATGCTATTTGGGTTACCGATATCTCAATTTTTCGCTAACAAATCCTTCCGACAATATGATTTGAGAGTTCTAGGTTATTTTGCAGTAGAATTATTAATGTTTATAGTGAATTCTATAATATTTAGTTAAGTTTCGTAAAGGATGAATTTATTTGTTCTCTACGTTTTATTTTGGAAAATCGAAAAGTACCAATTTTTAGGTTCGGTAACCTATTTTTTGCGAGGCTCTTTAAGGCGCGAAGCCGTCCGCCTAGCTACGCCACTGGCCTGAAGTTTTTTCTGGTTGGTTGCAAATTTTTTTGAAACTTATACAGGGCAAGTGAAAAAAATCCTTTTTTCAATATCGAAATTCTCCACTATTTTTAATGGAACATCTTGTATATCACAACGTCAAAAAAAAGATTCATGTTCAAGGTTTTTTGTTTGCAATTTGTAACCTACTTAAAAAAACTTAGGGCCAAGAGAAATCGAATGGCACAAACCGCAGGTATCCAGCACACCTGGTTTAAGAGTTATAAGCTTTTAAAATGGGTCACTCTCGGCTGGGACAGGGTTATTGAGTTAAGTTATTGAGTTTAGAACTTAACAACTTAAAAACTGAACAAGTTCTGTTAAATTAAATTCCTCCTAAGTGCACAAACAAACACGGACCAGCAGACGAAATGGTTAAAACACTGTTGTGTCACTGGAACGCATCCTACTTTAAGCTTCGTGTTTTTGATGCCTCCTTTAATTAGCCGGTGCTTGAGAGGGCAGGGGAGAGGAAAAACAAACAGTTCAGTTGCACGAAACTTCAATGCACTGGAACTCCTATAAACAATCCAGGGCGCTCTATACCATTTCCAGCATTATTTCACACTGGTGAAATTTGATTTCAAATTAATGAAAACTAAATTCACATCAGTGAAATCTAATTTCGCTCAAATGAAAATTCATTTCAAAGTAACGAAAACTAATTTCTCACAAACGAAATTTGATTTCACATTTTTGAAAATGAATTTCAAACTGACCCTATAATTAATACTTATTTTTCAAACATTTATTATTTCAATTTGAAAAAAACATCAACAACGTTATTTATTTCAACCTAATGAAATAATAAACCCACTGAGTTTAGAAAACTGTGGTTTAGATAACATAAAATACAATCATGAAATTTTAATAATAATTATGAATTATTTAAATAAATTAAACTTCAGTATGGCAAATCACGTGGAAAGGTGTAATAATGCAGCTATCTCAAGAGTGAGAAGATTCAACTGAAGTTCAATTTATTTATAATAATTTATATTGTGATTTTGTTGTGTTTTTTGTTAGCATTTTTTGATGTTCCTAATATTTATTTTAGCCCTGATGAAGCCCTAAACTTTTGGGCAAAACGTTGGCAAAGACTTAACAGGCCTCTTATGTTTTTTTTTGTCCTAACCGACGAATCAACCCCTTCATTATATTTTATGTTATATGAACTCGGTGGGTTTATTTCATTAGGGTCAGTTTAAAATTCATTTTCAAAAATGTGAAATCAAATTTCGTTTGTGAGAAATTAGTTTTCATTACTTTGAAATCAATTTTCATTTGAGCGAAATTAGATTTCACTGATGTGAATTTAGTTTTCATTAATTTGAAATCAAATTTCACTAGTGTGAAATAAGGCTGGAAATGGTATAGAGCAGCTCAGGAGTGTTTAAAGTGCGTCACTGGAAAGCGACTCAGATCTGCTCGCTCGGGTTTGGGAGGACGGATGGCTAATTTGTGTCTCATCATGTCTGTAACCATTAGGTTTGGGGGGGCTAAGCCCCCCCCAGCCCCCCCCTAATTGCGCCACTGAAAATTGAATTTGGGCCTAATTACATTGAAATTAGATAGAAATTAACGGAGTTGTGTTGTTTTATAATTTTTATCCAAAACGTTTTGCCATTCGGAAAATTATAAAAGCCATCAAAATATACACTCATTTTCATCTCTTTTGATTTATTCAATTAAACTAACTTAATAAAACTTTTACATTAAGCATATCATAAATTCCTTAGCTTATTATTTACAACTATATCACAATAATAATTTACTTTTCTGATATCTTATTCTGACAATGAATTCATCAAGGTGTAACTAGTTTTCTTCAAATTTTCCAAAAGAACACTCTGTATCTCCCCAAAACTATAATACTCTTCGTCGTTTTCTTCAAAATTGGCCATAATATCTGCATATGCTTGATTCATACCCTCTTTCACCAATTTATTAATGATATATTTATCAAGAACCCAACTATTATCATTTTTTGATTTGTCTTTATCAAGTTTTCTTGTCAGATCTTCTAACTTTTGCTTCAAATCAACATTCTCTTTTTTAACATTCTCAGTTTCTTTATAATATTCTTCAAAATCTTTTAATTTTAGGTTTTGTATTTCGATTTTTTTGTCTTTATCTTTTAATTCTAATTCAGCCTTATTGATGGTTTCTTGGTAGTTGATAATTTTCAAATTCAACTCTTCAACTTTGTTGTTTTCCAGAATTTGTTGTTTCAAAACTTCAACTTCATTTTCAAATGCTTCCATTTTTAGTAACTTTTCCTTTAGAGTTGCAACTTGGGCTTCATACATATGCTTTTGATCATCTAATTCCACATATTTTCTATGCAAATCCTCAAAAGCTTTTCTAGACTTATTCAAATCTGATGTTAAATTATCAATTTTTAAATTCTGACATTTGATTTTGGACTTTAAATCGTTTCCATTTTTATCCCCATTACCCAAAACGCTGTTCAGTTTTGAGTTGATTTCAGCTAAATTTGTTTTTAGTTCAGCATTTTGGGCAATCATAAAACTGCCGAGGCCGTAATCAGGTATTGTATGAGCGACAGGATAGATTGAACCTTGATTATTCAACATCATTTGATTGTTATTGGACATCAAATGTTGATAATTTTCATTGTATACTGGTGCCAACTGATTGCCTAAATTTCTCTTTAATTTTCTTGTAGGTTTAGGAGGCAAAGGATCACTGCTCAAACTAGATTCTGAATCTGATGCAATTTGCTCAGTTTTAGCAGGCAAAATTGGTTGGCCCATTTTTGATATTCTGCTAAGAATTTTTTCTTTTGGGCTTGTGGTTTTTTCAACTTGTTCAATTACAATGGAATCATACTTTGTAACACAATCTAGAAATTCATTTTTGGCTTGTAAATCATCAAAATTAATATTCCAAAGTTGCTTGTTGGCATCGTAGAATGCCACAAAATTGTTTGGGTATTTGAAAAATGATAAGGAGGGTCCTAGAGTTAATCTTATGAGAATTTTGGTTTTGTCTTGATAGACAATGATGTCGTACAGGTTTGTTGTTGAGTTGCCTATTACGGCTACCATATATTTGCCCATTGAAATATTCTTTCCATTGTTACTAGATAATGTTTATTTAATTAAAATTTGAATATTTACTTAAAAGATTAGTTACTTACAGTTTCCATAGGGTGATAACTTTGGCTAGAATAACAGAAGATTGAGCTTCGGAATTCTTAGGAGCACTATTTTCAGGGGCCTTTGGTTGTTTTGGAGCCTTGTAACTTAAACTAGGGCTTATATCTTCAGGAGTTGCTTCAAATATTGCAGATAGAGTAGAGCTAAAATTGTAAAATTGATTTTTTTTCAAGAATAGTGATTTATAAGGAATTATTACCTTGGTGTTAAAGTAAAATCATCGTCGTCTGTTTCCAACATTTTTTTCACTCAATATTTATCAATAATAATAAATTTATTAAAAATTATTATTATTTATTATTTATTTTGTTTTGACACAGCATTTACAAACTAGGGACACTTTTTTTCCATCAGCTACTCTATTATATATCGGTCTTTGTCATTTCCTATGTGCTAAACAAAGATAGTAAAAAAATTAGCATTTAATAAAGTGACAAGGTAGTAAACTCAATATTATAAAGGAAAGTGAGGGCGAGAGAGACAGCAATAGTGTATGATTTTTTTTTATTATAATATATAAAAGTATTGAACTATATACTATAAATTAAACTCTTGCCTATACCTAAAACTAGCCACATCTAATCGATTACAACCGTAACCAAAACCATTAGAAGAAAACAATGTACAATTATTATTTGTATAAATATTATCAGGATTGTATTGCATGTTGTGTGTATAGGAACACTTCCAAGGCATCACATATTGCAAATCCGGAGAATTTTGATAGGGAAAAGGTGGTTTCTCGTGGGGTAGTCCATCGGGTTTGAGTGGAATACCAATAGGAGAAGGTGCCTTCGAAGTTGGAGAATTTTGGAGGTTTAAGCTGCGCTCATTTCGACGGAATTTGGCTCGACGATTCTGAAACCAGACCTGGAACAAAGTTCATATTAAGTTGATTAGTTCATATGAGAAATCGAATTTCCTTCATTCATAGAGGATGTTGCTAGTTGCTAGCTACAAAACCGATTTCGAAGTCATTCCTAGACAGCACACAAAGTCTTAAGACGACTTTTTTAAGTAGGTACCTATTAAATTAGCATATAAGACAACTGAGCCACACTATTTGGTACTACAGGGCCTGCACTGTTGCCAGGTCAAAAAAATTAAATTCACCAGAAATTGGAATGAAAAATCACCAGATTTAGGCGCCATATTTAAATTTTAAAATTTTGCAAAGCCTACTTTGTCCCTTGTCAAACAGTGTTGCCAACTACAACTTATAACAAATATTGTGTCAATCATTGAGGCTCGAATTTATACAAAAAAAAGCCCAAGTAGGCCTTACAAATTTCAAATTTTCCATAAGAGTAATTTGTAACAAAAAATTTTGAATTTTTTTCAATAGGATTTGGGATTTTTATTTCAAGATTTTCAAATTTTATTTTCTCAGAACCCGTTAGAGATTTTGGATCAATTTTTTTTTTGAAATTAATAAGGGCTGCAAAATGGTATTCAGTTGAAGTCGTTGGCATTTACGGTTTTTGAGAAAATCGAGTTTGAAGTTTCTGACTAAATTGTAGCTAAAATCCAAGTTTGAGGCTCAATTGCTCTAAAAGTATTTGCGTTATCAAACTCAATCTAACACTGATTTATAGAGAATTTAATGCTCTTTCCAACCATATATAACTTATTTTGATTTGCTCAAAATTTAATGGAAGTATTGGCAATTGCTCCCAACCTTGTCAGGATTTTAAAAAAATTTAGATCTGAAAATTGAGATTTTCTTTTTGATTTTTTTTTCTTTTTTGAAATCGAGATTTGGAAATGATGTTAGAGTTTTTTTCGACTAATTTAGATCCGCTCTATCGATTGGAAAAGTTAAAATTCAAAAAATCTGAAAAATAAATATTTCGATTTTTTCAAAGGGTTGAACAACCCCTTTGGATTTTAATGTCAAAATTTTCAAACTCAATTTTCTCAAAACCCGTCCAAGATTTTGAATAAATTTTTTTTGAGATTGTAGCCCTTGATGATGGCTATAAAATGGTACTCAGTTGAAGTCGCTGGCATCTACAGTTTTTGAGAAAATCGAGTTTGAAGTTTTTGACTAAATTTCAACTAAAATCCAACTTTGAGGCTCAATTGCTCCAAAAGTATTGGAGATATCAAACTCAATCTAGCATTGATTTATAGAGAATTTGATACTCTTTCCAACTATATATAATTTATTTTGATTTGCTAAAAATTTAATAGAAGTATTGGCAACAGCTCCTAGCCTTGTCAGGATTCAAAAAAAATTTAAACCTAAAAATTAAATTTTCTTTTTAATTTTTCTCTGTGTTAAAATCAAGATTTTGTAATGATGTTAGAGTTTTTTTCGACTAATTTGGACCCGCTTTATCGATTGGAAAAGTCAAAATCCAATAAATATGAACAATAAAAATTTCGAATTTTTCAAAGGGTTACCCTTTTAGATTTTTATTTCAAAATATTTGATCTTGGATATCTTAAAATCTATTAAAGATTTTGAATTAAAATTTTCAGGACATGTAACTCTTGACAAGAACTTTAAAATGATATTTAGTTAAAATCGCTAGCTCTTATGGTTTTCGAGAAAATCGAGTTTCAAATTTTTGATAAAATTTGGACTAAAAGTTAACTTTGAGATGCAATTGCTCAGAAACTATTCAAGTTATCAGAACCAATTTAGCATGGATTTATAGAGAATTTAATGCTATTTCCAACCATATATAATTTGTTTTGATTTGTTCAAATTTCGTTGAAGATATTGGCCATTATTCCTAACCTTGTCAAGATTTGAAAAAATTTCCAGAAGAAAAATTGAGATTTTTTAGCTTTTTGAAATCACCATTTTGAATGTGATGTTAGAATTTTCTTCGATTAATTTAAACCCACTGAATTAATTGGAAAAATCAAAAATTCGAAAAGATGAAAAATAAAAATTTCGAGTTTTCGATTGGCTTGACTGAAACCCCCCATAAGTAACGCCACTGGCCAAACAAAATACATGTTGGCAGCTTGAAAAATAACCGGCCAATAGCAACAAGAGCCTGGAATAAACAGAAATTGAAATATAAAAAGGGAAACATATACCTATAAATATATCAAGATAAAATAACTATAATTTCATAGAAACATTCTTTGAATATGAGAATATACATTTCGAGCATATTTTTAGAATTAAACAGGAATATTTTTTTCAGGATGTACTGAGAATCTCATAGGTATATCCTAGGAATATCCTAATGGATTTCCCAGGAAGTTCTTGGGTATTGCAAACAGTATTTCTACAATCTTATAGGGATTGTTTGATGTCCGTATTAAATATAGAAGTGGGGGGTAGGGTTCTACAATTTACAAATTGCGAAAAAAACCTGGGACTAAGAATTGACACGGAACTTCGTTTTAGAGAGCAAGTAAAACACTATTTACAAAGGGCATATATTTCCTTAAAGTTGCTCTATCCACATCGCCACTTATTAACAAAGGATCAAAAAATTAAATTAACAGATTCTTTAGTGTTAAGTCACTTTAACTATTGTGATATTTTATATGGACCATGTTTAGATAAAAGAGATACAGATAGAATTGAGAAAGTACAAAAAAACTGTTTATGGTATACGAAAATATGATCCGGTATCGCACAAACTGCATGATGCCAAATGGTTGAATATGAAAAATAGGCGTAGACTGCACTCCCTGGTATTTTTTCACAATATTATTTTTAATAACAATCCACCTTACTTGACTGATAAAATAACATATAGAACAGATGTTCATAGCCTAAATCTTAGATTTAGGGGACTTATCTCTCCACCACCACACAAAACGTCTCTGTTTCAAAGAAGCTTTACCTATAATATCTATAAGCTGTATAATGCCATTCCTCCTTCTTTAAAAGTCTTGAAACCCTCAATTTTTAAAAGGAAGTTAAAACAAGAAATATTTTGTCGATAAGTGCAAGCAGTTGATTTGCGTTCCGCTCGGAATGTTTTTTTTTAATGAGATTTTTCAGAGCAATATTGTTTCAGTTTATATAACTTTATTTACCATAGTTTTGTTTTTTTTTGTTACTACTCATGCAAACAAATAATTAGTGATAAAGTTTTGTTAATCTACTGGGGTTGAACTTTGAACAATTTTTAATTGCTTTCAACTCCTTTTTTGCAATTTATATAATACTTGAATTACTGTATAGATAAATGTATTATATGTACCTAATCGAATTGTATTGCAAAATAAATGCTTATTATTATTATTATTATTATATCTTTTCTCAGAACATTCTCAGGACATTCGTAATGGTTTTGGCAAACATTCTTGGCACATTCCTCCTAAAAAAAGAACATTCTTAGTACATTCTAAGGATGCAATTTGTTATGTGGGATTACGACACAAAATCTCAACAACAAAAAATTTGAAATTTCATCGTTTCAGTACTGAGGTAATGTGCGTTTTTATTCTCATCGGTGGATTCACCGATGAGTTAGCTATCTTTGTTTAGTGAATGGAAAATGACAATGACCGACATAGAATGGTGGATCCATCGGTAAAATTTGATGAGAATAAAAACGCAGGGGTAGCTAGCATTTGTCAAAAATTTATCAAATTGTCAAGTCGATCTGTAAAACTCTCCTAAAAAATCGAAAATTACAGACCTAAAAATTCAAAAAAAAACTCAAAAAAAAGGAATAAACCAATCAGAACAAATAAATCTACCTTTACAAGTACGAGAGTTATACAAAAAAAAAGAATGAATGCGTCCATTCGGACAAAAACTATAAAGAAGAAAGAACAAAAAATGTCATTGTCAGAAAATTTGTCAAATTCAAATACTGATGAGGATACTCATGAAGATTATTCAAAATCATTGCCAAAAAGATTTCCACAAGACAATAAATATGTAGAATATGCGAAGGATTTTTATATTTGTACTGAAGATCGTTTAGATGCAGGATCATCTAACGAGACTCAAAATATGGATACAAAAATAAATAAAAAACAAGATAATATAGAAGAAAATATTTCAACTAATAATTGTGCTGGATGCAGATATAAATTTCAAAAGAACTCCTACTCCTTGGGATGCAAAGTTTGCGAACAATGGTTCTGCCTGACTTGTTTAAAATTATCCAAGAAAGATCTAAATGAAATAAAAAGAATGAAAATTGATTGGGTTTGTTAGAAATGTATTAAGAAAAAAATTGATATTGATTTTTATAGTCTACAAGAAGAAAACAAACAGTTAAAAAACATTATTGTGGAACTAAAAAATACAAATGAAACTTTAATAGAAAAAATAAATATACAAGAAACAAGTGAAAATATCTACTTTGCAAATAAACTTGAAGAAAAAATTGATAAAATATTAAAAGAACTAGAAAAAAATCAGAAAAACCAAAATATATCATATGCAGATGTAGTACAAATACCTACAAAAACGAACAATCAAATAAGAAACTATCCTCCATTAATAATAAGACCAAAAGTAAACCAATCATTCGAAAAAACCAAAAATTTTCTTCAAAAAGAAATCAACCCAAGCTTGGTTAATGTATCAGTAACAAAAATAAAAGAAATCAAAAATGGGGGAATCATTATAAAAACAAAATCTGAGGAAGAAACAATGAAACTTAAAAAAATAACTGAAGAAAAATTAAGTAACAGCTTTACATGTCAAATACCTCAATTAAAGAACCCCAAATTAGTAATGTTGGGATGTACAGTAAAATATAATGGAGATGAATTAAAAAAGACTTTGGAACAACTTCAACTATTAGATTTAAATGACAAATTCGAAGTGAAATATGTCAGAAAATCCAAATATTCGAACAAATTCATTTATAACATTGAAACTGATGGAAAAACGTTTTTTAAATTGAACAATAAAACAATATTATTAAACTGGA